ATTTTCTTGGTTACCTTGGTGATATGCAACTCTCCCTTCTCAAATTAATCAGTTGTGAGACATCCAAGTAGTTTGATGTGTACCTGCCTTAATGAAACTATGCAATTATGAGAATTGTGAGAAAACTTTATTGCATTGTTTGAACCTAGCCCTGCATGATTAGGGAATTGGATCATCTCTATCTGTGGTTTAGATAATCTTAACTAAGGGCATATGTTATGCTGGTGAGAAACTCATATTCAAAGACTGATGGAGGGCCTTACCAGATGCTTCTGACTACTCCCACAGCTGCCAAACTTGTGGGTGTGGACTCATGGCTCATCTGAAGAAAGGCCCTGTTCTTGAGTGGATGGCAGAAACTTACAAGGACCTCAAGTTTCCTCTAGTACCAACTTGGAAGGAGGTTACAGCTGGATGAGATAGCCATCCTCAGATTTGAGACAAGGTTTGAGTGTCTGTCCTAGTTTTTTCCTCTTTCATTGGTGACCCTTTGAAATAAATTCCAATGGCTAAGAATTGGACATAGAAAGGAAGCCCAACAATTAGGGACGTGTGAAACAAGCCCTGGTATATGATTGTGATGCAATACTATTGTACTATAAGAAATGTCATTACAAACTGTCACTACAAGCATGACGATTTTAGAAAAACTTGCAAAAACTTACATTAACTGATGCAAAATGAAGTGAGCAGAAACAGGAGAACACTGTACACAGTAACAGCAATATTGTATGATGAAGAACTCCTGCTCCCCATCTCATACTTCACCCACTTCACTTCACCTACCCCTCCAAGAGTTTCCCCCATCTTCCTAATCTCAATTCACATATTCCTTTAAACATCCCCCCACTTTCTCTTCCACTCTGTCTCCCAGTTTTCTCACCTCTCTACATATTCAGAAGATTCCTACACTCTTCCAGATGTAAATGTTTCTTCTTCAACCCAGATAAGACTAAGATCCCAGCATTACCAGCCCTCAACCTCCGCTTGGTTCTTCTGTCTTAGTTCTTCCTTTCATGCCTTATTTTTATAATATAATGGCTCCCTTTTTTCTTTTCTTTCCCAGTTTTGTTGTTTAGAATTACCTCATCATACACAACTCTATCTCAAACTTTATTTTAAACTATCAGTAATGATGATACTTTAAAGAATAATGAGGGGTGCAGTTAAGATGGTAGAGTAAAAGCAGTGACTTATTTGAGCTAACACCCAAACCCCTCCAAATACCTGTAAAAAATGGCTCTAAACAAGTTCTAAAGCAACAGAATTGACAAAAAGACAGAGTGAAACAAATTTCTAACCCAAGACAACCAGGAGGCTATATCATGCTGGGCTGAGAGAGGAGCCCAGTTTGGCATGGGTGTGCAGGCCACAGTAAACCTGGAGCAGGCCTCAGAAGACTGAATTATGGGTAGTTGTTGTGGATTCCAGATTTCTCAATCAGTGAACTCTAAAGACAGCTTAGAAGATCAGTGGGAAAAATCTGTTTCTGCAGTGAGAGAGAAGTGTGGGGTCTAAGCCCCATTCCCTGAGCTTGGTGCCAGAGTGGCAGCTGCCTCCAGAGCTTCTTGCCCACAGACTAAGGGGGAATTGAGTGGTTGATCACAGGGAGATTGGAGGCATCTTTCTGCTGGTGCAGGATTCTCTTGCTTTGCCTATGCTTGGATCTGGGTCACAGTTCTGGGTGGTAGTACTGGGGAGAGAAGGAGTGCTGACATGGTGGAGCTTATAGTGGCTGTATAAAGGAAATCCTCCTCACAGTTTCAACACAGAAAACAGTGCTTGTGGTCACTGATAGACCAGAGCACGGGCCAGGAAAGGAGTAAACACCTTACCCTTGATCATAGCACCTTGAAAGAATTGAAAATTTACAGGTCCCCAGAAACATCTCTGAAAACAGCTGCACAAAACCCCTGAAGCTTGGTACAGTACATTCTCCACACTGGAAGCAGACCTCTACCTTAACAAAGAGTTTTTAACTCAAGTAATTGGCTGACATCATGAGCAAGCAGCACAAAAAGTTTCAGACCACAGAATCTTTCTTTGGTGATTTAAGTCTATTTACCTCAGTTTACTCTTCTATAAGAGGGTAATAGTGGAACCCACATCCCAGGGAGGTTGTGGGTAGGAGAAATGCTGAATTATTAGGCTCCTGCATAGGTTGCAAAAAACAAACAAGCAAACAAAAAAAAATACTAGGAAAGGTGCTGAATGGGTAACTTTGTATATAATGTACAAGAGAGAATGTCAGAATGAGGAAGGAGTGATATTCTTCAGGCCACTTAAGCTAGGTTAACTTGACCATGTATTGTGATATTTTTGAAGTACTGCAATTTAAGAAATCATAAACTTCCAAGTTTTGGCTATATTTGTAGAAAAGTTTCAGTTAAAATTATTTGGTTATATCAGGTATTCTTATAAATGCCTTAAAGGAAGCACCCACTTTAATTGGGGGTTATTTATTTGAACATGACAAGAAGTTGGAATTGTCTTATTGATATGCATTATTTTAAAACTGATCACTCTATATATGATGCACATATTGAAGTCTGTCATTTTATAAACTGTTCTGTTACTAACTCCTTAGTGGAATTTTATCCTCTTGATGGGGGAATGAATGTGAACTTGTGAAGTATAAAAACTTGGTTCTAATTTTCCTGTTTTTATTTAAGTTTTTTTAAACATGACAATTGGTCAAGATTCCAATTTTGACTTTATAATATTAGAAACATAAGGGTTGAGTTAATTTGCATTATTTGACCTGGTAAGTAGCAAGGTAGTTTAAAATTGTGTTAAGATCAATTTTGTAAGAGATTTTTAACAAAGAAAGGGGATCTCTGTCTACAAGAAATTTTAAGAAGTCAGTCTGCTGGAGATTGCTTAGCAACATTCCAACCAGGAAACTTCATAAGATAATTTACTGAACACCAGACAGCTGTATGAGAGGAGACTTCTGAAGCCTTAAATACACAATTTATTGTTACTTTTTTTCCCTTTGAGTCTCTACACCTGTACTTACTAAGGGGTAGTTGCTTACCCTTTTGAATTGTCAATGCTTTTCTCTCTCCCCTCTCCCATATTGTTATAAGTCCCCAAAACCCCTTGATGAAGTGTTGACCACATAAGTTAGTGATTCATAGAGAAAGCTACATCTCTCATTAGAATCAGATGGGTGAATGTGAAAAATGATTTTTTCTTAGTAATCTGTATCTTGGAAACTCAGAACTTCCCCATTCCTTTTCCTTTCAAAGTTCAGAAGGACATTAAGATGTAATCTAAATAGGTCTATTCCTCCTCATTATGTTGCCTAGACAGGTCTGGGAGAATGTTGATTCCTCCCCACTGTCAAGACAGGCGATAAGGAAATTGATGTCTATTTGACCAGAAGTAAGTGATCTCTGCCACATACCCAAAGAACTTCGTTTTAATATGGCCCACCTCCCAAAGTTGACTGTAATTCTTTGGGAACTGGTAACCCAAAAAATCCAATTCAAGCCATTTCTGAATTGGCCCCCTTAGGGTTACCAGGTTTTGGACTGAACTCTCAGGCAATGTGTATCAAGCCTGCTTTAGAGAAATTAAACTGTGGACACAACCACCCCAATTTTCTTTATTTTTTAGAGCTGACTCTGTTTCAAATTGTGGTTCTTTTTGGGTGGGTTCACACACCCTTGTCTAAGTGTTCCTCCTCAACCCTCCTCTTTTGCTTCCTGAATTTCCCCACATCAGTTTACCTTCGCCCATACAATGGAAAAGAATGGAACACAAAAGCATTTAAAAATCTCTGACCATATGCCAGGCTTTATAATAAACATGCTGCCTCCCCTTGAATTCCCTTTTACTAACCTCTCACATTAGAATAAAAAATAACTTTTTAGCATTATATCCAGCTCAAGGGTCTCAATCCCAAGTTTCAGTAACACCTAAGAGGTCTATTTTGCATCTTGAAATTTGTATCTTTGAATGGGATGGTTGGAGAACAGCCTGATATTCAGCATATAGCAAAAGGAAAGAGAAAAAATAGTTTGGGGAGTTGAGAGGCAAAGAGACATCTTGGACATCATCATGAGCTCAGTGATTCACTAGAAAATACTTGAAGAAGGTATCCTTGAAGGGAAGACCTTGTTTTCACAGATTCTTAAGTCAATTTGTAAAAGGTTTTATCCTTCTGGATCTCAATATCTCCTTAAACCAGTGCTACAGAGAGGTTAAGGCTATTCTGACTTCACAGATCAAAGATCTGAGGCACACACAGATACATCCAGTCAAATCCAGAGGATAATTTATCAAGTGAGAGGAATATAATTTTGATATTATGTGAGGTCTGCTTCAAAAGAAACTTCCAATTCCTTCCAATTACAGTGTCATGATCCTCTGATATGTGCATGAATACATGTGGGATATAAATGTATACATATAGATCTTTATGCATAAACATTGGGATAATCATATATATATATATATATATATATATATATATATATATACATACAAATATATATGCATATATATGTTAAATTTTTCTGCAGGTAGATATGTTTTCCACATGCACAGTGTATACAAAAGTGGTATAGAATGCATAGTAAATATTTGATAATTCCTAATCTCCCTCATGTTTGACAACCCTGGAGAAATTAGTCACCATGGACAAAACATGTAAACCATTGAAAGAATACATCTTATCTCTATACCTGCAGGCAACAGAAATGGAAAAGATTCTCAGGGACAAAAAGCAGATTAGATAGATAGATGATAGATAGATAGATAGATGGATAGATAGATAGATAGATAGATAGATAAATAGATGGATGGATGGATGGATGGATGAGACAGATGTTCACTGTGAATTGGGAAGAAACCAAAGACCATGAAATTTTTTCAGACTTATACTTCAGCTGTTATACTAAGTGGTCTCCTCGTACTCAGTGTTCTTTACTTCCTCTCCAAGTCATTCTCTACATGGCCTATCTGAATGAGGGGGTTTATGGCTGGTCTCATACTTCTTTTTCTCACTGTGTTATTGGCACAGTAATACGTGGCTGTGTCCTCAGCTTTAAGAGAATTCATTTTCAGGTGCAGCATGCTGTTGCTGTTGTCCCTGGAGATGGTGAATCGGCCTTTCACAGAGTCTGCATAGTAGGTGGTTCCTCCATTACTATAAATATATGCAAGCCACTCCAGCCCCTTCCCTGGAGACTGGCCGACCCAGGTCATGCCATAGCTGCTGAAGGTGAATCCAGAAGCTTTGCAGGAAAGGCTAAGAGATCCTCCAGTCTCTCTCACACCACCCCCAGACTCTACCAGCTGAACATCACAATGGACACCTGCAAACAAAAAGTCATTTAAGACAGTAGTCACAGAAATACACCACTTCAAAGAGTGTATCCTTCGTCAAAAATCAAACAAAATACAAAAATACCTTGTAAAAGAATCAGAATGAAAATTCCATTCAGTCCAAAACCCATTGCTCAGGTTCTGCCCTGTCAGTCCTTAGGAGAGAAAGGCCACACAGAAGAAAAGCTGCTCTTCCAGAGCTGCAGACACAGGTTTTTGCTCATTTTCATCCCTAGAGGGAGGAGTTCATTTTGCATGTCTTTCTCTGTTTAGTGTGAGGAACAGCAACTGCCTCCCAGTGGGATGAGTCCCCTCCCTGAGCTGGAGAGAGAAATTTCACTCAGAATTAGTTCTAAAACCCTGGGGAAGGTTACTGACGCTGAGAATATAAATATCATTTTTAAGGACTCAGTATCTATCTTTCTCCATCACTCCAATCTGCTTTCAATACCAATGGATTGCTCATTAGACTTTTCCATGTTCTTGATAGTTTCCCACCTTATCCCAATGACATTTTTAATTAGGAAGGCACTCCAAGCTTTTGTCATTTTTCATCTTCAGCAAATATTGCATCTACTTTAAGATTTATTTTGTGGGATTTCTTAACTCACTCTTGCCACTTCTGCTTGCTTACAGAGCTATTTTTTGTTCATTCTCTTTGTAACTGGATTGGTCTGTTACATCCAGGGTATGCTTTTTTGGCATGAGAGAGATCACTGTGAAGTTTTCAATGTGAGCACTATTACTGGATGAAAGGGAATGTACAGTTTAATAGCATTTTGGGAATAGAAGACTTACATAAACTGTTGCAAAGTGAAGTGAGCAGAACTGGAACAACACTGTCCACAATAACTGCAATATTGTATAATGATCAACTACAAATGACTCAGCTATTCTCAGCAATAAACCGATCTAAGACAATTTTGAAGTACTAATGATGAGAAATGCTATTCACCTACAGAGAAAGAACTAAAGGAATCTGAATACAGAACAAATCATACTTCTTTAAACTTCATTTTTCTTCCAAGTACTTTTTGGTCTGTTTTATTTTTTTCACATTACTAATATAGAAATATGAATTCATATTTGCTTGCCTTCTTGCCATTGAGGAACGAATGGGGAAGGAGGGAATTTAGTAGTCAAAATTTTTAAAAATGAATGCAAAAATTGTTTTTACCTGTAAATGGAAGAAAATATTAAAATAAATATTCAAATAGTTGAGAATTTAAAAACTAAATACTTTAAAACACTATAGAAGGTAGAAATCTAAAAACCTTTTCATATATATATATATTCATCTGATCATTTTGCTTTTTAAAAGAAAATATTACTCCAATTAATTTTCCTCTTCAATTCCAATTATTTCTAATTACCTCCTAAGCAGATTAGAGACAGATAATTATCAAATAACACATAAGTAAAACATAGGCAACAACAGACTTTGTAACCACTATGACAAAAAATAATTTACTTTAAAGATACTAATTTTAATCCAATTGGAAAAAAAAAGTTGTGGGATGGGATATGTGAATACACTAAGTAATTAATTACAAATGGCGAGAATAGTGTTTACCAAAAGAGCGGTCGATAAAACATGTCTAGCCCTTGGTACATGCTACACGTAGGTTTTTATTCAAAATTAAATAATAAACATAAGGAAATAATAAACCTAAGCAAAATTAGATTTCCTTATGAGTTAACACAAAAGAGTCCAAAGTTTCTTTCCCCTATTATGACTGATTGAACTAAAATCTTTTCCTTGAAACAAAATAGAAAGTGTAGTACTGGTTAACTGTAAAATAAAAACAAAAACTAATAATCGATAATGGAAAAAGAAATTCCATTCCAAATAACTACAAAATGCATAAAATATCTTGGAATCACACTACCAACTACACAAAAGACCCATGAAGATTCAAATTACATAAAAAAAATGACAATGAAAATAGATGGAAGAATATTAAATGCTCAAAGATAGGCCCTGTTAATATGATAAAAACAATGTATCAAAATTACTATACTCTTTTAGTGCAATCAAATAACTAGGCGTATACGTTACAGATCTTGGTGAAATAATAAAATTCATTTGGAAAAGCAAAAGATCAAGAATATCAATGGAAATTATTAAAAGAAGTAGAAATGAAGGAATAGCTTGTCCTCACCTGAAAAAAAGCAACAGTCATCAAATAACTTTACATCATTTAGAAAAGAGAGAGATCACTGGAACAGAGTATACAAGGGAGAATCAGAAACATTGGATCTTAGTGTTTGAAAAACTCAGTGTTTTATAGAGGGAAAAATATCAGATATTTGAGAAGCTCCTGATTTGATTAAAAATAAAAACTGCAAAGAATAGGAAGCAAAGTAGATGTCCACTAATTGGACAAATGCTTATCAAATTGTGGTACATAACCATAACAGAATACTACTGTGCAATAAGAAATTTTGTGTATGAGCAATATACATAATAATAATAATAATAATAATAATAATAATAATAATAGTGGTAATTTTAATTATTATTATATTAACTAACATTTATATAGGAAAGTAAGGACTTGTTATCCTAAAGAAATCACGGTATATTAATATAATGGGATATTATTTTTGCACAAGAATTGACGAAATGGACAGGTTCGGAGAAAACTGGGAAGACATCTATGAGCTGTTGCAGAGAGGAGTAGCAATAGGAGAACAATTTATACAATGACAACACCACTACAGAGAAAAATAATTTTGAAAGACTCTAGGATTCAGCTACATACAATATGCATCCAGAAAACTGAAGATGAAATATATCTCTCATCTCAGCCAGGGAAGTGATAAACTTCAAATAAAGAGAAAGGATATGCAATTTTTGGGGAAGGTCTGGGTGAGAATTTTCCCCCTGAAATTCCTTTATAAATCTTTGAAAATAAAGTACTTGGGGCTCTCATGTCATCATGAGCTGGGAGAGGAGGAAAATTCTTTCATAATACCATAAATAATGTGTTAAAAGAAACCATTGTCAAGTGTTATCACAGGAGAGGAGTGAATGATATCATGAAAGTGAGGCTTATAATAATGTCATGGCATGGAAGGACTCATTCCTGGAAGGAGCATAGCAGGAATTTTTCCCAAACTATGTCATTCAGGAAGAAGGGATAAATTTGAATAAATAAAATTTGAATAATACTGTTCTCCTTAATAGTAAGAAGACAGAGAAGAGACAGTGTTAGGGCACACTTCCTTGGAGTAGTACAGAGTAAGAACACAGAAGAAATTAAAGGTTGATTTAGGGACAGCTGGAACACTCCAAGAGCATTTTTAAAAGATATGGTTGTAAGAAGTTGAGCAAAAGTAGAATTTCCCTAGGGAAAGAAAATCTTGCATTGTCCTGATAAAAATCTCAAGCCTATCTATACCCTATTACAGTAACACTAAACTTCTAAAGGCACAGCTATAAAGTAATGATCTTTACTCCATATAATTCAGAAAAGCTAAGAAATTCTTAGCTGTTCCATTTTGTTTCTTTGATAAGAAAGGTAGCCAATAGTGGTGCCTGTTATATTGGACAGAAGTAGTTTGGTTTAACTGTAACAGGAAAGCTGACTAGTCGGTCTTACATGATCTGCACCACATTTTCTTCCATTTCCTGCCTTCAGGTAGCCCAGTGGATCTGACTTTCCAGAATTTCCCTCTGGCCTGGATGTGCTTCTGGTATATGCACTGGAAAATGAAATAATAGCAAGAAGATTCCCCGTTCAGGAAAGATATGTCAGATCTCTCTTTACCATAACTCCACCCCACTAACACCATTAATTAATTCATTTTAAGCCCAGTGAATTCATGATGTTCTAAATTTATGTGGTTCAATTTTTTTCCTATAAATTGACGGAATTATTGCACCATTTATCAGTAAAAGGATTCTGTTTCATTCAAACCAGCCCCTCTCAATAAACTGACCCTCTCCCCCACTTCTTCCACATTGTTTAGAAAGAGAGCTTCTATTATAGTCTCCTTCTAGTTTATCATAACTTCCTTCCATGCCTTCATGGGGCATGAGTTTGTCTTCTACACTGTGAGAGCATTTTGGACTGACCTTCCAAATTGAGGCACCATTCTCTTTATTCAGAGCTCCCATGTCTGCTGTCACTATGTCCTCAGGAAATAGATTATCATTTCCCTGCTCTTATCCGCTTTCTCTTGATTTTCTTTTTTTTTTTTCATTTGTCTTTCTCTTTATTTTTAATTTTTCTTCCATATGCTTTTGAGTTGAAAATTTTTTCTCATTTTTTCTCCCCCCCCTCACCCTCCCCAAGATGGCACACAATCTGACATACACTTTACATTTACATACCCATTAAACTTCACATTAGTGAAGTTGTAAGTAAAAATTAAAACCAATAGGAGGAATCATCAGAAAGATGAAACAAAACTCAACTGAAGGTAAAAATAAGTGAGAGCGATTCAACTTCCACAGTTCTTTCTTTGGATGTGGACAGCATTTTCCATTCCGAGGCCTCTGGAGATGTCTTAGATCCTCAATGCTGAGAAGGGTTCAGTTTAACAATTCTTAGTCATTGCATAACATGGCTGTTATTGTGTACAAAGTCCTCTTGGTTCTGCTCACTTCACTCAGCATCAGACCATATAAGTCTTTCCAGGTTTTTCTGAAGTCAGCCTGTTCATCATTTCTTATAGCACAATAGTATTCCATTACATTCATATACCACAACTTGCTCAGCCATTCCCCAATTGCTGGGCATCCTCTCAATTTCCAATTCTTTGCCACCACAAAAAGAGCTGCTATGAATATTTTTGTACATGTGGGTCCTTTTCCCATTTGTTTGATCTCTTTGGGATATAGCCCTAGAAGTGCTATTGCTGGATCAAAGGGTATGCACATTTTTGTAGCCCTTTGGGCATAGTTCCAAATTGTTCTCCAAAATGGTTGGATCATTTCACAACTCCACCAACAATGTATTAGTGTTCCAATTTTCCCACATCTCTCCAACATTTATCATTTTCCTGTTTTGTCATGTTGGCCAATCTGATAGGTGTGATGTGGTACCTCAGAGTTGTTTTGATTTGCATTTCTCTAATCAATAATGATTTAGAGCATTTTTTCATATGACTATAGATGGCTTTAATTTCTTCATCTGAGAACTGTCTGTTCATATCCTTTG